ATATATATATATATATATATATATTCTTTTCAAAAATTTTTTTAAACTTGTGATACTATGTGCAATTCTTTAGCATTTTTATGTTACTACTCTATGCAAGTCTCTCCCTGGTTCATTGATTTGTTTTTACTTGTTACTCTATCCCCTTTTATTATTTCTTTGATCATTTGATAGTTGCCTTGGACTTCCATCTTCGCCCACATAACATTATTTCTTGTGCAAGCCAGTATTTCATACATTCTGATGAACTATATCTTCCCTTTTGGAGAAGAAAAAAATATTTTTATTTGCAAAAATAGTCTCATGCAATAGGTCGTCTAGGCATTTCTCAAATTCTTGTTCATGCTAGGGTTGAAGTTTTTTTTTTTTTTTTTTTTTTTTTTTTTGGGTTTTTGAAGTTTTTTTTTTTTTTTTTTTTAATTTGGGATTTTAAGTGTTATTGTTGCCATTCATCCATCTGTGCAACATGTGGATATGGAACAACTAACAGCTTCAACAGCGAATGGATAACAATGAATGGTTTCAACAGTCTTCTCGCCTCCAGTTATTGGCTGCTAGTGCTTGCATCCTCTTTTTCTGTACTGGGGCAAGAATCATTAAACCATATTTTAAGCTTAAACTGAAGTCAGCAATTCACATTTAATGCTCATATGGAGTGACTAATTTTGGCATACCATGAATCATACTGTTTCTTAGTTGTATTAGTTCCATCATGCGTGTTGAAACTTTGGGTAGACTGTTTTAAATGTGGTCATCAATCTTTCTGTCTTGTCACTGAATGTAAATGTCTCGTGGTATTTCTATTTAAATTCTCCATTTCTTCTGGGATCTCTCTTGGTCTAGTTTACAACATAATCTGAATGAAAAATATGCCTCACTCTCTTAGCTGGAGATTAGGCATAAAAGAGGTTTCCATTTCTTTCGAGAACTATCTTTTTTTTGTTTCAACATAATTAGGAAGGAAAGCATGCCTTTTCTCTTAGCTGTGGTTTTGGCATGGAATAACATTGCCAATTGTTTTTGTTCTAGTAACTTCTTTTTGGATGCCTACGTGGTAGTTTAATTTTTGTTTTGTGAGTTTGGAAATCTTCTATTCTATCATGCTTGTTTATGTGAAATTGATAACTTTGTAGGATATGTTGCATTTAAAAGAAGGAACACTTCTAGAAGGGTCCATTTGCAAAGTTTTCCCATTTGGAGCCCAAGTAAGGCTTGGCGAGACTAATAGAAGGTTAGTTATGTGAATTTGTTTATTCTTTATAGCTTGAAAAAAAAAATTTTAGTTCATACTGATGAAGTGTCATTATGGTTATTTAGAACTATAAAATTAAGGCAGTTTGAATATTTTTCATGAATGAATGCACACACTTCTACAAGCATACATCATCTGCTCGCATATCAACACCCACTCTTAAAGATATGCTTGCGCATACACACACATGAAGAAAAATGCATACATATGCAATCACACACCTTGACATGTTATACATATGTTCAATCCTTACAACAGAAAAAAAATATTTATTTTTCTACCAATTTTCAAAATATTTTGATCAGAAATCTTCGAAAATCACAATCAAGATTTTTGATCTTCATGCTTAGAACAGAACCATGTATTTATCCACAATTAGTGTATATTTGGTATTTGGCTATTGATTGAACTCATCTATTATTCTTATAGATGGAAGGCCAAGATAGTGAGATGCAATATAAATCAAGTTATTCAAACTAACTGAAAATTTAGATGCATGCTTGACTTTTCCCTTGACCGGGCTAGGACACCAACTGTTTTAGTAAACCATGAAGTGGTGTTAATGCCTTGATTGAATTATACAAGAAATACAGTAATAAGATAATCACTTCTTCTTTACCAAAGGATGAATGTCGTTCTCAACTGTGGGCTCCGAAAATTCGGCCCCAACCTCCGTCAGCTACTTTTTCTTCTTTGGGGGAATTTTAACGGAATTAAGTTCCAGGGTAAATTTTGGAAGGCAGATGATTTTGTAGATAAGACACTACCCAGAGATTCCACCCTCATTTTGCGAGGACTTTATGATCTGAGTTCTTGTTTCCTATAGGTGCAAGCCCCTATAGTTAATTACCCCTCCCAATCATGAGAGAGAACTTTCGATTAAGGCTAGTCGTCAATCAGATACGTATAAATACGTGTTATATGGCATATAGTAGCAGCACGGGCATTGGTTTTGGATTGAAAAGATTTGAGAATTTGAAGATTTGATATATTTGATATTTAAAATTTAAAATTTCATCATCTTTCACTTAAAGCAGATGGTGAGGGAATGGATGATGAACCCGATCAAGATCCCATGGTTTCGTCGTCCCTGGCCATCATGGTCCATGGTCTACTTAGTCAGAGGAGGTAGTCGACCAGACCTAATAGAAGGATCATTGTCGGCAACCATGGGTTGCTTCGTCCAAGGGTACCTTGTAGACCTGGTTGAGTGTTTGTCTAAGGGGATAAATTTGAATCCACCTTAGCTAATAGAGGGCTTAGTGCCATATCGATTATATCCTATTGATTCATATCTCAAAGATTTGATGCCACTAAGGAGCGTGTTGGCTCTGGTCATAACCGGTATTTCGTGGTGTCATTTGGCGGCAAAATCACTCGGTTCAGAGGGCCCCATGTAAAACCCGAAAACGACGTTAATAGGTCGTTGCACGCTTTTCAAAGCGCCGCGACGAGATTTAAGTGAAATTTTCAACTTTAACGGAATTTAACAAAAATAATTTTAGAAAATCCTACGCAAAATTCTGGTCGTTTTGGTATATAACACTTATACCTAATTTAGCATATTTTAGGAATTAAAAATGTTTGAAGCTTAAAAATACCAACTTTACCCCTAATCTTATAAATTGACAAATCTACTTAAGTGAGGGCACATGGGTAAATTTGCAAAGCCAATTCCTCTTAATAGACAACACCGACCCTTCTCCCCCTCTCATTTCACGCGTGAGGGGCGAACCGAGCAGAACGAACAAGGGGGCGGACGGCGGGCTTCGGCGACGTGCGTTCCGATGATGATCTTCCGTCGAAAGTTTTAGGTCAAATCGAAGAGGACGACGAGAGAAACACTCAGGTACGATTACTTTTGAACGAATCTTTCTCAATCTCTAGATTTTTGAGAATGAAATTTCTAGGGTTTTTCCTAAAAATGTTTTTCTTCCAAAATTTCTTTTAGGAATTGATAGGTAATGTTTAGAAAAGCATTTTAGCGATAGAAATGATATTTTTGGAGGAATTTTTAGAGATTTATAAATTATGGTTTTTGACCTAAAACTTAATTTCGTAAGACACCTATACGAAAATGATTTTTAAGGGTATTGGGAATGATTTTAATGTGGAAATTTTGATTTTAGATGAAAATATTATTTTCACTAATTTTCATGATTATTTTAATCCGAAAATTATAATATAATTATTAATATATGTTAAGGATCAATTTTGGAACAATGATTTGATGAAATTGACGGTTTATGGATTTCCGAAAATTTATATTTAATTAAATCCGAAAATTCATATTAATTTAATTAAATATTCATTGAGTGTTGTATGAAATGATTAAGGGGAAATGAAGATTTAGACTTAAGAATTTGATAATTAAAAATTATGACGTCTCTTTTGTAAATCTTTCTTAGGTTGTGATCTTTAAAGTGTATGGTGGAAGACTTGTGTCGAAACGACGTGTCGTACTTGGTTTGAGGTAGTTACTCACGTTTTTGATAAAAAATTCATGATTTTGTTCTGTTCTAGTATCTAATACAAATAATTGAAAAAGTTTCATATGACCTGAATTCATGACTTTTCATTTTTATGGCAATATGAATATTCAAGACTGCTATTTCATGAATTTAAAAAGCTTCAAAATGTGTTGAGAATAAATGTTTTATGTTTTGCATATAATTTTCATACTTGTTTTTCTATGTACATATGAATGAAAAATTGTATATATTAAATGAATGTGCATGCTGATGCGGAGTACCCAATGGTAAAGGAGGCTCGTAGAGCCAATGGTAAAGGAGGCTTGTAAAGCCAATGGTAAACGAGGCTCGTAGAACCAATGATAACGGAAATGGCCAAAATTGACTGAGTAACTGATCAGTACCAAATTATGGGCACATCCGAGACGGGTGTTACTAAAACATTATGCATAATATGGATTCCTATGTTCTTTTCAAATTATGAAAATTTATGTTTAAGGAAAAAGGTAAATGAAGCATATTATATTAATGAAAGAGGTTAAGAAAAGTATTCCTTTTTATGTACTGATACGAGATTATTCAAGGTTGACAATCCTTTCGTGTTTTTATACGAAACTGCTTTATTTTAGTTTTATGCAAATTTTTATTTAAAGACATGAACTACCTGCTGAGCGTTGGCTCATTCTACGTTTAAAAATGTTTTTCAGGAGAATTGATGGCTGCTCGACGATCTTATACATATCGTCGAAGAGGACCTCAGGATGAAAGGTTCCTTATTATGATTTCAATTTGAGTCTTTATTATGTACCTGTGTAGTTTGTGAGTTTAAGGTTTGAGTTTGAAGTTTATGTGATTATGAGAGTTTATGAAATTTGATGGTTTAAAAAGTTTTAGAAATTGTATGTGATGACTAGTTTGAAACATTCAATTTGATGTCTTTTAGTGGCTCTTTCTTTTAATGTTGGATGACATTTATGTTCATTATTAAATTTATAATGAATTTGTTTATTTTATATGCTCTTCCGTACTACCGATTGTTCCCGCCCCGTTATCAACGGGCTAGCCGGGCCGGTTCGTGACACCCCAGGTCATAATCATTTATCTTGCGGTGCCATTTGACGGCAAAATCGCCGGTCAGAGGACACGTACCACGTCTTTATTGGCAGAAGATTATTTGAGAATGTATCATAGTGATATTTTTAAGTAGACATTTAACTCTATGTGAGCTGAAGTTATATTTAAATTTGTCTACATCGACAAACTGTCATGGAGGGTGGATGAATTTTGCTTTTAAGTATTTGATAGGATTGAATTTCAATTTTAAACATCTTTGGATTTTTGTGATTTTTGAATTTTGGGTATTCAGGTGGCATTTTGAATTATTTGGAATGGATCCTTTCGGTTGAGATCTACATTCAGCACGACCATCATCGGGATGTTTGTGGTCATTTCCATTTAAAAATATTTACATTTTGTGAATAAACCTTGTCAACTCTGTCGAGCTATTGACAGAGGATCAGGTTTTGTAGGCTTTATGCCTTTGTTAGTGAATTTTTATTATTATAAGCTTTGAAGGTCTAATATGAATGCATTAAGACAAATATACCAGTCGCCACAACCGTATATTTATTTGATGGTTCGAATCCTGTGGACTCCTATTGATTTGGATAGAAGGATCCGGTTCGTACTTGAATTCACTTATTGACCTGCGCAACATCCCTAGACGTCACGTATGTACCAATAACACGCTCGTCGGGGCCCATGTGGATGTTTGAGGGCATTTTATAATTATTTGTTGAACCTTGTCAACTCCTATTTACCTGCTTAGGAGGATCATGTTCAAATTTATTGACCTGCGTAACATCTCTAGATGTCACATTTGTTTCTACAACATGCTCGCCGGGGCTCATGCGGGTTATGATTATATTTACCCCTTTAATGTACCTATGTGTGAACAAACTATGGTGCATGTGCGGGGGCATTTTAGAAATACGACAGATCTCCTACGATAACCCGTAGGAGCTTATGCTTATCGTAGCTCTTTAACATCTGCGTTGGTGGAATATCAGATGTTAGATCACTGCTCACCAAGAAACTTGCAAGCCTCATTAATGCTAGGGCGTTCCCTGGAAGCGATGTGTTGTATGACATGAATACTGTGACAAGTGTACAAGGGCCACTGCACCGGCGCTCGGGTGTAGTGTTAAATAAGCAAGAGTTCCCACATCAAGGACGGATGTGGGCAAAGAAGCTAGTACATAAAATTAAAATTAGGATATGAACGTGGAATATAGGTTCCCTTACAGGAAAATTAATGGAATAAATATATGTTATGATTCATAAGAAGATAAATATTTTGTGCATTCAGAAAACTAAATGGGTTGGAGAAAAGGCTAAGGAAATTGATAGTTTAAGATTTAAACTTTGGTATTCGGGTAGGAGTCGTACTAGAAATGGTGTAGGTGTTATTATAGATAAGAGTTTGAAGGATAATGTTATAAAAATTAA